TCTAGGCAGAACAAAATGTTAACCAAACTTAGCATCTAGGCAAAACAAAACTTCTAACCAAACTTAGCATCTAGGCAGAACAAAACGTTAACCAAACTTAGCATCTAGGCAGAACAAAACTTCTAACCAAACTTAGCATCTAGGCAGAACAAAACTTCTAACCAAACTTAGCATCTAGGCAGAACAAAACGTTAACCAAACTTAGCATCTAGGCAGAACAAAATGTTAACCAAACTTAGCATCTAGGCAGATCAAAATGTTAACCAAACTTAGCATCTAGGCAGAACAAAATGTTAACCAAACTCAGCATCTAGGCAGAACAAAATGTTAACCAAACTTAGCATCAAGAAAAGTCGGACGTAAATTAAGTGAAAGCAAGTCAAGAATATTTCAAGTGAGCAAATATAACATGAACATATTAGCAGATACAATAGGTAGAATAGTTGACATATCTGGACAGTATGGGGTATGGGGTGGGGGATCTGTGGTACAATAGTTGACATATCTGGACAGTATGGGGTGTGGGATCTGTGGTACAATAGTTGACATATCTGGACAGTATGGGGTATGGGGTGGGGGATCTGTGGTAGAATAGTTGACATATCTGGACAGTATGGTGTATGGGGTGGGGGATCTGTGGTACAATAGTTGACATATCTGGACAGTATGGTGTATGGGGTGGGGGATCTGTGGTACAATAGTTGACATATCTGGACAGTATGGTGTATGGGGTGGGGGATCTTTGGTACAATAGTTAACATATCTGGACAGTATGGTGTATGGGGTGGGGGATATGTGGTACAATAGTTGACATATCTGGACAGTATGGTGTATGGGGTGGGGGATCTGTGTTAGAATAGTTGACATATCTGGACAGTATGGTGTATGGGGTGGGGGATATGTGGTACAATAGTTGACATATCTGGACAGTATGGGGTGGGGGATCTGTGGTACAATAGTTGACATATCTGGACAGTATGGTGTATGGGGTGGGGGATCTGTGGTACAATAGTTGACATATCTGGACAGTATGGGGTATGGGGTGGGGGATATGTGGTACAATAGTTGACATATCTGGACAGTATGGTGTATGGGGTGGGGGATCTGTGGTACAATAGTTGACATATCTGGACAGTATGGGGTGGGGGATCTGTGGTACAATAGTTGACATATCTGGACAGTATGGGGTGGGGGATCTGTGGTACAATAGTTGACATATCTGGACAGTATGGTGTATGTGGTGCGGGATCTGTGGTACAATAGTTGACATATCTGGACAGTATGGTGTATGGGGTGGGGGATCTGTGGTACAATAGTTATCATATCTGGACAGTATGGTGTATGGGGTGGGGGATATGTGGCAGATATCAAGGTCAGATTACAGAAGGCAAGAGGAGATTTAGCAAAAAAATTTATGAAGCTCAAAGTCTATCAAATAAGACCAAATTACGAATCTTGAACGTGAATGTAAAATTGTTTTATTCTATACAATAAGACCAAATTATGAATCTTGAACGTGAATGTAAAATTGTTTTATTCTATACAATAAGACCAAATTATGAATCTTGAATGTGAATGTAAAATGTTTTTATTCTATACAATTAGACCAAATTACGAATCTTGAACGTAAATGTAAAATTGTTTTATTCTATACAATAAGACCAAATTATGAATCTTGAACGTGAATGTAAAATTGTTTTACTGTACAGCGTTGTTAGCCAAAGAACTTCATCTATTCAGTTACTTCAGTTTGTTGTATTTTAACATGAGCAACTATGGGTCCTGTCGATGGCCAAGTATGTGTCCTGCTAATGGTCAAATATGGGTCCTGTTGATGGCCAATAATAGGTCCTGCTGATGGCCAAACCGGCTAATGGCCAAATATGGGTCCTGTTGATGGCCAAATATGGGTCCTGTTGATGGCCAAATATGGGTCCTGTTGATGGCCAAATATGGGTCCTGTTGATGGCCAATAATAGGTCCTGCTGATGGCCAAACCGGCTAATGGCCAAATATGGGTCCTGCTGATGGCCAACTATGGGTCCTGCTGATGGCCAACTATGGGTCCTGCTGATGGCCAGACGTATTGCGTGGATCGTGTGGGTGGGTGAGAAGGGCGAGTAACTGGAGCTAGTTGCCGAGTCCAATTTTTAATTGATTTTAAATCTGTCTAAGGCGGGTTGACCGTGGCTAGATGGCTCGTGGGCACGCGAGCAGCAGCATTAGTCACTCGGTTCATTACTTGCTCTAAGTCACGACAATCTGACTTAAGTCATTTTCCCAGTCTCTCTTTATTCGCAACACAATAGTGTATGTAGGAGCAAATATAAAGCTGTATTTTGTTTACCGAGAAAATATTGCAGACCCAAGTGTTGAATTATCCCTACGGTGTATTTTTGGGATTATGTTGTATAGGCCAAAGTGTTGAATTATCCCCACGGTGTATTTTTGGGATTGTTATGTTGTATAGGCCAAAGTGTTGAATTATCCCCACGGTGTATTTTTGGGATTGTTATGTTGTATTGGCCAAAGTGTTGAATTATAACTATGTTGTATTTTTGGGATTATGTTGTATAGGCCAAAGTGTTGAATTATCCCCACGGTGTATTTTTGGGATTGTTATGTTGTATAGGCCAAAGTGTTGAATTATCCCCACGGTGTATTTTTGGGATTATGTTGTATAGGCCAAAGTGTTGAATTATAACTATGTTGTATTTTTGGGATTATGTTGTATAGGCCAAAGTGTTGAATTATCCCCACGGTGTATTTTTGGGATTGTTATGTTGTATTGGCCAAAGTGTTGAATTATAACTATGTTGTATTTTTGGGATTATGTTGTATAGGACCAAGTGTTGAATTATCCCCACGGTGTATTTTTGGGATTGTTATGTTGTATTGGCCAAAGTGTTGAATTATAACTATGTTGTATTTTTGGGATTATGTTGTATAGGCCCAAGTATTGAATTATAACTATGTTGTATTTTTGGGATTGTTATGTTGTATAGGGATATGTTGGCTAACATCGTTGTGAAATGGTAACACACATATACACAGACATATATACATTATTTAATACACAGACATTATATATACATTATTTAATACACAGACATTATATATACATTATTTTATACACATACATTATATATACATTATTTAATACACGGACGATGAAATTAGCTCATTAAGGCTCAACACTGTCCGGCCGTCATTTAGGGGCATCAACCGTCCGTCATTTAGGGACATCAACCGTCCGTCATTTAGGTGCATCAACCGTCCGTCATTTAGGGACATCAACCGTCCGTCATTATGGGACATCAACCGTCCGTCCGTCGTTTAGGGACATCAACCGTCCGTCATTTAGGGGCATCAACCGTCCGTCATTTAGGGGCATCAACCGTCCGTCATTTAGGGACATCAACCGTCCGTCCGTCATTTAGGGGCATCAACCGTCCGTCGTTTAGGGACATCAACCGTCCGTCATTTAGGGACATCAACCGTCCGGCCGTCATTTAGGGGCATCAACCGTCCGGTCGTCATTATGGGACATCAACCGTCCGTCATTTAGGGACATCAACCGTCCGTCCGTCATTATGGGACATCAACCGTCCGGCCGTCATTATGGGACATCAACCGTCCGTCCGTCATTATGGGACATCAACCGTCCGGCCGTCATTATGGGACATCAACCGTCCGTCCGTCATTTAGGGGCATCAGCCGTCCGGCCGTCGTTTAGGGGCATCAACCGTCCGTCCGTCATTTAGGGGCATCAACCGTCCGTCCGTCATTTAGGGGCATCAACCGTCCGTCATTATGGGACATCAACCGTCCGGCCGTCGTTTAGGGGCATCAACCGTCCGTCATTATGGGACATCAACCGTCCGTCATTATGGGACATCAACCGTCCGGCCGTCATTATGGGACATCAACCGTCCGTCCGTCATTTAGGGGCATCAACCGTCCGTCCGTCATTTAGGGACATCAACCGTCCGGCCGTCGTTTAGGGACATCAACCGTCCGTCATTTAGAGACATCAACCGTCCGTCCGTCATTTAGGGGCATCTACCGTCCGTCATTATGGGACATCAACCGTCCGTCATTTAGGGACATCAACCGTCCGTCCGTCATTTAGGGACATCAACCGTCCGTCATTTAGGGGCATCAACCGTCCGTCATTTAGGGACATCAACCGTCCGTCCGTCATTTAGGGGCATCAACCGTCCGGCCGTCATTTAGGGGCATCAACCGTCCGTCATTATGGGACATCAACCGTCCGTCATTATGGGACATCAACCGTCCGGCCGTCATTTAGGGACATCAACCGTCCGTCATTATGGGACATCAACCGTCCGTCATTATGGGACATCAACCGTCTGTCATTATGGGACATCAACCGTCCGGCCGTCATTTAGGGACATCAACCGTCCGTCATTTAGGGACATCAACCGTCCGGCCGTCATTTAGGGATTTAGGGACATCAACCGTCCGTCATTTAGGGACATCAACCGTCCGTCATTTAGGGACATCAACCGTCCGGCCGTCATTTAGGGACATCAACCGTCCGGCCGTCATTTAGGGGCATCAACCGTCCGGCCGTCATTTAGGGGCATCAACCGTCCGTCATTTATTGACAGTTTCTTCCAGGCATCTCTTCGGGGGGGGGGGGGGGGGGAGACGACGACTTTGCCGAAATGAAATTTATATAGAAAATATATACTTTAACATCGTAACAGTCCCACCCCCGAAGAAAGTCTACCCCCCCCCCCCCCCCCCGTCCTTCCGAAAATTTCAAGTGCACCCCCGGAGAAAAAAGTCTGGAAGAAACACTGTTTAGGGACATCAACCGTCCGGTCTACTAAAAGTGACGTTTATATCCTCCTAGTTATACCATATGCTAGTTATACGAATTGTACCGCTATACCTTATCTATACAACAGTTATACTTCAGTTGTTCAATGATTTCACCCCCCCCGTCCCCCCACAATTAAGTTGAAACTTACCCCTCGGGAGCACACAATCCCAGCAACAAGAGAGAGCGGTGTCTCACATGTTTAGAGACCTTCAAACTTCAGACACTCTACACTTGCAAATGTTTAGATACTCCAAATGTTTAGATACTCCAAATGTTTAGATACTCCAAATGTTTAGATATAATCCAAATGCTTAGATACTCCAAATGTTTATATACTCCATTAGCAAAGATACTCCAAGAGTTTAGTTATCCCAAAAGTTGAGGTACTCCAAAAGTTTAGAAATTCCAAAAGTTTAGAAACTCCAAAAGTTAAGATACTCCAAAGGGAAGAAACTCCATCAGTTGACTTACTCCATGAAATATGGCAGGACCGGCCCAGACGTACCTACAAGACAATCTGTTGACCACAGCAGTAGATAGCCATTGTTTATTTTATAGTCGAGCTTCTGACAGTCATATCTTTCTTTTTAGTTGTCCTGACCGACTCTAGTCTCTCTCCCCCACACGAAAGGCACATCTCCCATAGAGCCTGCAACTTGAGCCAGACGGTAGTGCCTATGACTTTCAGACTTAGATGCTCACTTTTCCTATTCGGGCTGCCTATGTCCTTTTAAGAAAAACAATCCTAATGCCTTTGAACATATTTTTTCTGCTGGTTGTGAAAACTAATTCCCTGCTAAGTTTGTAGCGGTGTCACGTGTACAGCCAACCACCGCGCGCCGACCGTCATAGTGGCCCGGTATTCGCGGCTCTGGCTGTGGGATCTCAAGCCACGCCCACTAAGGGGAAGTCAATCGCTTTGTTTCTCTGCCCGATCCGCCACCTCACTAGCGGGCCGCTTGGGCCGTGTCGCGGTAACGGGATGTACCGCTGCTGATTGGCTAAAGAGGAGGTGGGCTCGTTTTAAGGGGATTTGCTTGCCACATTTGAGTCCTGTCCCGCGCGATTAGCCCCGCCCCGTTGGCTTGTCTGCGTGCGGTCCCCGGCGTGGCAAAAGTAAAAAGCAAGATAACTGAGATTCTACGTAACTCTCCCCCTGCCAGTTCAAGAAAAAACCTTGTTTATTTTCTTTATTCTTGCCAAGGATTTTTTTTCAAGAAGTTTGATTTGATATTGTTTGCCTCTTCTTGGTGGTCCTTGTGTTCTAAGTAATTATGTCTAATCTAGGAGCACAGGATGCTGACATGAAATTGTATTGATTCTATCCATACGTTACTACTTAAGTGTACCGTTATTGTAGTTGTAGCATTTAACACATTAATTCGGCTCTAGTTGTAGCCTAGAATGCATACACTAGCCCGAGTCCATATCGGATCTAGAGGTGTTTGGTGTTTGGTGGAGAAATAGACCACTGGAACCTTTTATTAAAAGTTTATTTTTTATATTTGCACATTTATAATATTGAATATAGTATGTTCTGCTCTTAAGGTAGATCTATATCGTTTTCCGTTCGTGCCCAAGACATAGGGGGTAGACGAAGTAGAGTTCATCTGCTTCAGAGACCTCGGCATATGAAGGGATAGCGTGGTCAGCATTATGCCAAGGCGCCATTGTTTCTCTAATGTGAGTTAGGTACCCATCCGAGCTGGGTAGACTAAGGGACGTTCCTCTTATTTAAACCCGGATTCGAACTTACAGTGGCGTAGCCAGGATCGTCACACACACACACACACACATATATATATATATATATATATATATATATATATATATATATATATATATATATATATAAATATATATATATATATATATATATATATATATATATATATATATATATATATATATATATATATATATATATATATATATATATATATACAGTGGCGTAGCGAGGTCGGGTGTCACCCGGTGCGGCACTTAATGGTGTCAGTCCCCTCCCCCCAGAGGCGTAGCAACCCTTCCCGGGGACAAACTTTCAAATTTTCGATTTGCACCACCCCTCAAACTTTCGATTTGCACCCCCCCCCCCCTCAAACTTTCGATTTGCACCCCCCCCCCCCTCAAACTTTCGATTTGCACCCCCCCCCCCTCAAACTTTCGATTTGCACCCCCCGATCAAGTTTTCGATTTGCACTCCTCCCCTCAAGTTTTTCTCTATATATTTTGCTATTTTTTGCCTTGGTGTCACCCCCTAAATGGTGTCACCCGGTGCGGTCCGCACCCCGCCCCCCCCCCCTCGCTACGCCCCTGTATATATATATATATATATATATATATATATATATATATATATATATATATATATATATATATATATATATATATATATATATATATATATGTCATTGCTTCGCTATGATGTAAAATAAATTGTAAGTAGTACTCTGAAGAAATAAGAAAAAAAACACATAATGTAGGCCGACAAAACAAAACAATGTATCACTCTAAACATAAAAAACAAACAAAATATACACACAATACAACCAAACACAATGAACGCAACATAATCTGTATTGTAATCCTTGTAAAAAAAAACAATTTGACGTAATGATTGCTAGAATATTAAGACAAGCGTACTAGGGGAATTAATCACTCTCTTAATATAAGTATGTATATTTCTACAAATTTAATTGTAATTGTCTCTTAATATAAGTATGTATATTTCTACAAATTTAATTGTAATTGTAAATAAACGGGGAGTGATCTCCCCTAAACTTTCTCGAATATTCTAATATAACATTACGTGGGATGGCAACTCGGAATATAGACATGATTTTTGTTTACTTAAACTTTTAAAAATAGAATAAAATCTAGTAGAAAAAAGAATTGCGCACCAAGCGAACGCCAAAACAAAATGTGCATAATAGTGTGCAATATTATTAGTACTTTATAAATTTACATGCGTTTTTTGAGAAATCGGAAATAGCGTAAATTAGTACTTCCGGTCAACGAAAATTACTCAAAATTTGATAGAAGGTAGAGAATTAGAATTTTTACTTACGTGTCAAATTTTATTTATCTATCTGAAATAGTACTCAAGTAACAGGCTTTTGAACAATTCAAAGTAGAAAAAAATGCCACTTCCGGTTACCGGAAATCGCTCAAAAGTTGATACTGATCTACGATTTTGATAAAATACATATATATGAAATTTCATCAAGCTAGCTGTAACGGTACTCAAGTTATCGTGTTTACAGACAGACAGACAGACAGACAGACAGACAAACACACAGACATACGGACAAGATTGCAAAATTATGTTTTTCCGTATCAATGAGGTGTAAAACGTCCAGATTTGTAAAAATCTCGATTTTAAAAAAAAAAAAATTTGCACGATTACAAGACTTTCTCTATACTTCGTATATACGAGAAAGTAAAAAAGATCAATAATTACTTACGTATGTAATATAATAGCTTAATACTATTCGTTTTTCCAAAAATGTTTTCTCTACATTCAGAATTAAATATATTATCATTAAAATACTAAAATATTACAGCATAGTGAAAGTTTTTAAAATCAGAGTTGTTATAAAATCAAGTATTTTTAATCCACACGAAAACTAAATTTAATAAGTGGAACAGTTTGAATTATAACTTACACATTACTAAAGTATTGTCTTACAGTTCAGATCATTCATTTTTAATTATCTACTGTTAGTATGTTCTTTAAGGATCATTTTTAACATAATGATATGGTACGGGTTAGATCACTGCAGGGGCGTAGCGAGGTCGGGTGTCACCCGGTGCGGCACCCGAGTCGGGATTTGGCCAATTTCATACACCACTGTCTGGTCACTTTAGGTCAATTATCCTACCCAGCGTATACTTAGGTGTGACATTAAGGTCACTCTACACAATTACGGCCTGTCCCGTTTTAGGTGATGAGGTGGGGGGGGGGGGGGTTAAGATAACCAACTCAGATTGAACATAGCGTCAGTTTTAGATGACTGTTCTAAACATACATATACAATTATACATATATACTGATTCAGAAATAGATTTAAATAAGTAACAGTGGCAATATGACTGTAAAAAAAATTTTTGTAACTTCCCTACCCCACCCCCTGCCTACGCCACTGCGAACTCAAGACTCTCGGGTTAGCAGTCTAGCACTCTACCGCTGTTTGCGGATAGTAGAGTGGGGTGAAGGGATGGGTGGGGGGTATGAAAGCTTAGATGTTTCCAACACAAAGACACAAGCAGGAATTCATTACATTACGTCTAGTTGTAACTACAGAATTCGTGTCAATATAACTATATCAAGTCTGTGATGTCAATATGACCATACTTAGGTCAATATGACCATACTTAGGTCAATATGACCATACTTAGGTCAATATGACCATATGAAGACTGTGATGTCAATATGACCATACTTAGGTCAATATGACCATACTTAGGTCAATATGGCCATATAAAGTCTGTGATGTCAATATGACCATACTTAGGTCAATATGACCATACTTAGGTCAATATGGCCATATAAAGTCTGTGATGTCAATATGACCATACTTAGGTCAATATGACCATACTTAGGTCAATATGACCATACTTAGGTCAATATGACCATATAAAGTCTGTGATGTCAATATGACCATACTTAGGTCAATATGACCATATAAAGTCTGTGATGTCAATATGACTTAGGTCTACATATGTCATGAAAAGCTAGCAGATAATTTGATAAGACTCAGTTATGCACAAGTTGTATCGGAGCAAAGGAATGTGGTCAGATAATTAGACATAGATCACATGACCCCCACTCTCCAATTGATAGTCCCCTGGCATTAGCCTAATACAGTTATGACACGGGGTCAGTTAGGATCCCATTAGCTGACATGTCTGCCGTATCAGTGGCGTTAATGAAATAGTCGGTCAGTTGCCCCAGTGGGATACTGGCTCGCTCCAGCCAGTCGGTCTAAGATGGACAGATAGAGGTCAAATAGAGGAGAAGAAATGGTGGATTGGATGAATGTTGTTAGAAATTTATGTTGTTACGAAATATTGTTATACTCAATAAATGAGTATTGTATTGAATGAATGAATGTTGTTTTGAATGAATAAATGTTGTATTGAATATATATTTTATTGAATGAATGTTATATTGCAAGATGTTGTATTGAATGAATGTTGTTACGAATTAATATTGTATTGAATAAATGAATTTTGTATTGAATGAATGTAACATTGAATAAATGTTATATTGAATGAATGTTGTATTTAATGAAAGCTGTATTGAATAAATGTTATATTGAATAAATGAATATTGTATTAAATGAATGAATGTTGTATTGAATGAATGAATGTTGTATTGGATAAATTTTGCGTTGAATGAATTTCGTGGGGATTTTTTTTATACCAGTGTCTGATAATAGCATCTTCTTAAAAAAAGGGTGCTAATTGCTGGGTGCTAAGTGCTAGGTGCTAAGTGCTAGCAGGGGCGTAGCGAGGGGGGGGGGGGGCGGGGGAGTGCGGACCGCACCGGGTGACACCATTTAGGGGGGTGACACCAAGGCAAAAAATAGTAAAATATATAGAGAAAAACTTGAGGGGGGGTGCAAATAGAAAGTTTGAGGAGGGGGGGGGGGGGTTGAAAATCGAAAACTTGAGGGGGTGGGTGCAAATCGTAAGTTTTGAGGGGGGGGGGTATGCAAATTGAAAATGTGAAAGTTTGTCGCTACGCCTCTGGGGGGGGGGGGTGGGGGTGACACCATTAAGTGCCGCACCGG